ATTTGTGCGTTACAGCAGCGTTTAGGACGTTTGGCGGTGACCCACATCCGTTAGAAGCTCGATTTAGGCTACCCACACCTTGGCGAGCTAGATCTAGGTGACCCACACCTATACGAAGTCGGTTTTGGTGGTAATGAGTCATTTGAACCCTTTTAGAATTGATTTCGAAGGCTAAATAGTGTACGTAACTTGCTGTATTTTTCTGTTTTAGTGCTTAGGTGTGAGGTCGACGCAAAACTTAAGGGCGCGGTTGTGAGTAAGTAGACAAGGGGCGTGTGCGTGCGTTAATGTATGCTAAATGGTCTCTAATGTGCTGATTTTGTGGCGTTTAATACTAATTTTATTACGTCATTGTGCTAAATAATTCTCGTTGTGTTAATCGGTATAATTGGAGTAGTGTTGGATATTTGTCGCTGAAAATGGTGAGGTTTTTGCTTTGCAAAACTGCTGAGTATTGCTGTGGAAATGTTTGTGGTCTGAATATGCATGAGTTGTTCGGCGTGTCTTGTGTGTTATGATACTTAGTAATGTTTATTGAATATCGATGCTGGATATTAAGTGTTTTAGGTGAACTGTGTCGGATTCCAATGGTTTAAAATTTGTTTGGTTATGCCTTGTTGCGACGAACCTCATTGTGAAGCCGTTGTTAAGAAAAGTTATATTGTGAGAGCATGATCGGTTTATTATTTCATTATTAGAATGTTGTTTAAGTTGTGGAAGCATGMTGATTTGTAGTTGTGAGTTGAAAGATGCAAGGGTAATGRCTTAAGAAAGTATATAGTAAGACTCTGGTGAGAGTTGGATTCTTGGAGRAAATGAATGAGTGAGTGTCAGGGCCTCGGGTATAAATGATCGRGGGCTGATACGTCACTATAGTATCGAGGACTCGGGTAAAAACGGTCGAGGGTCGATACGAGGAGTCCTTTGGAAGGAAGGCTATTGGGGCCTTGGGTGAAAATGGTCAAGGGCCAATAGATGGTGAAGTCATCGGGGCCTCGGGTAAAAATGGTCGAGGGCCGATGCAGCAGTGTCGGGGCTCTGGGTAAAAATGGTCAGGGGCCGACTCTACTCGAAGGAGTTAACTGTGGAAGGCTAGGATAGCTGTGATAAGCGTAGAGGTATTTGGGATGTTAGGTAGACTAGAGGTTGGTAGTTAACGTGTTCCTGGTTATGGTTGTCACCAAATTTTATGGGATGTGTCTATGTTTGAATGCATGATGTGATGAAAGGCATGACTATGAATGTTTCATGATTTAGTTGAGCATGATGTGTGTGTGTTGTTGGGGAGGGCTACTTATGGAGTATATTTTATATACTCACCCCCCCCCTACAATGATTGTTTCAGGTGAAGGACTCGTGGGCGACCATGGTGATGAGATAGAGGAGGCATGATGAGCGAGGACCATAGGCTGCATAGTCATTCTTACTTAGCTTAAGTTATTAATTAAGACCTTATGTTATGGTCAATAAACTATTTGCTCGTGTTTGAATAATTTGGGAGGTTCCCACYTGGTATTGACTTTATTTCAGGATAGGTGTCTATCTTAGTTCTCTACCATTCATGAGTTTTGCCTAGTTTGAATAATAAAATTGCCCCGGGAGGTTGTCCACGGATGTTGTTGAATGATATTCTATGAAATTGATTTATTGTTGAATTGACCAGAGGTGGAACTTGATTGTATGTAATTGTTGCATAGGGAGTTGGCATCATGCGTTTTGGGGTTAAGTTTAATCAGTTGGGTAGTTAAYGTAACTTAGAAGTGTGGGGGAAATTCTGGGTCGTTACATATTATATTATATTATTATTATATATTATAATATAATATAATATAATCATTACTTTTTAAATTCAATCTCCACCTTTCATCTTCCATCATTAAGATCAAATGACCCAAATTGGTTTTAGTTTCAAATCAACTTTACTCACTTTCCTCCCCTATTTAAACCCCTMTTCTCTCCCATTTTATATATACCAATTTTCTTATTTTTAAATCCTCTATAATCCATTGTTCTTCTCTCCAAGCTCTCAATTCTACTTCTATTTTTATTCTTGTGAGRGATTTTCTTGTGTGAGGATTGATGTATTTGTGAGCTTAAATTTGAAAATCTACTCTATTTGAGAGTTTTAGTGTGTGAAAAATTCTTATTTTCACACTTATTTGGGTTTCGTTCTTGAGCCCGGTAAAAGGAACGGAGTGTGRGTTTTAATCTTTGTCCCAAGAAAAAGATTGAGTTTAGTTYTAGATCCCGTAAAAAGAGCGGTTTGTAAGGTTTGGTCTTGATCCCGCAAAAGGAYCGGGTTTCCGATCTTGAACCCGTAAAAGGATCGTGCTTAGTGGAAAATCTCGAGAGGTGCTCAGGGAGTGGAGTAGGYCGAGGGTTTGCCAAACCACTATAAATCTCTTGGGTGAAGTTTTCTCTATCCCTTACTTTTTATTTATTGCAATTTATCTTTTAAGTATATTTTCTTTTATTGCAAATATATATTGTGCTTATTTTGAATATTTGTTTCATGATATTTTYAGTTGCTTTAAATATTGCATAAATTGTTTTTGTTTAAAAAATTTACTTGGTTATTTGATTTATGCTTAAATTCGAAAGATTTTAGTAAATTGATCTTTAACACTATTCACCCCCCCTCTAGTGTTGTCATACCGATCCATCAGCATGAACTCTCACATGTACCATTGCCCCTACACAGCTGAATGGCAAGAGCTGGCAAACTTCGGCGAGATCTAGAACATTGGGGACAGTTTTATTAATACTTTGCTTTAATGTATTTTCAATTTAATGATTTAAGCATTGTGGTACAAATTTGGCACAATTGTTGCTTTGTTTCATTATTGTAATCTTCATTTATCTATTTACCCTATTTAATCATGGATTTATTTATTTATGGTTCTCTTTTTCTCTTCTCCTATTTTCTATTTTCTTAATTGACTGGCACCACATCACACTTACTGTACCAGACGCAGGGTGAGAGTAATAATGGAAGATCAAAAAGTTGAGCAAAAGAAAACAAGGAAATATATTGAGGAATTGAGTGAAAATTTTGATGTCATCCTCCTCGYGCTAGAAAAAGCAAAGATGCTTGCAGATCCCGCTACATCTAGCAATCTCGTCCATGCCCCGCAAGAAACCCTGTCTTATCCACCTRGGTTTGGCCAACCTCTTASGCCAGTAGCATAGGGCTCTATGCCACTATATACAACGTATAACCCTCTGTATGACATTCCAGTTTGTCRGTACCCACCTCCCTTTGTTAAGGGAGATCAGCAAGTCCCAACCAACATTATCTTTTGAGAGYCCGAGCAAATCATGGCACCCCCTATAGTTCTTAGTCTCGGTGGTCTCCCAGCCAAGATAGACTCAGAAGAACGAATTTCCCCCGATAATGAGAAGCTAGAACTTCTAGAGGAAAGATTAAGAGCAGTCGAGGGGACAAACATTTTTGGCAACATCGATGCTTCTCAATTGTACTTAGTGATGGGTTTAGTCATCTCTTCAAATTTTAAAGTGCCGRAATTTGAGAAGTACGATGGTTCTTCTTGTCCTAAGAACCATCTTATAATGTACTGCARGAAGATGATGGCGTATGTCCAAAAATGACAAATTATTGATACACTGCTCTCRTGATAGTTTATCTGGTCCGACATCTYTTGGTACATGTAGTTGGACAGCTCTTATGTCAGCTTGTCGAAGAATCTGGCCGACTCGTTCCTTAAGCAATATAAACATAATATAAATATGGCACCATATTGCTTGGATTTGCAAGGAACGGAGAAGAAGAGTACAAAAAGCTTTAAAGAATACGCCCAAAGATAGAGGGACACGACAGCTCAAGTCTAACCTCCTTTAACTGATAAAGAGTWATCTTCTATATTTATCAACACTTTAAAACATCTCGTCTATGATCAGATGATAGGAAGCGCTTCCATAAATTTCTCTGATATTATGACCATCGAAAGAAAGGATCGAACATGGGGTCAAGCATGGTTGAATAACTAGTACTGCTAATGACACATCAGCCATTAAGAAAGCAAGTTCTTTGAAGAAGAGGGAGGGTGAGGTGAAAATGGTAAGAGCAGACYGACACTCTTGGAAACAGCAGCCATATAGTAGGACACCGCGATACTCTCAATATTATTACCCAATGCCATACGGGTATAATCAACYATATATGAACAATACAACTTCACATTACTCTCCTTATGCCTCTCAAAATTTCTGACCCCCAGCCAGTCACAATTTCCAACCTTGGGGTCAACACCATGATACATTCTATACTCAAGGGCAGTAGTGATTACGCTTGTTTACATGSGTAAAAAGAAGGTTTTAGATACTGTTTTTACTATGTTTTAACTTTGTTWCGGACTTTTTYTCGGTCRTTTGAGTTCCAATTCATGCAAAAATCATATATGATGGTTYGTGGTTGGCTTATATTGTATTTATGACATTTTAGGACCATTTGGGAGTGCAAATTAATCAAAAGAAGCAAAAAGTCAGAAACATCCTCATGGGAGGCACCAGGCGCCTGGGAAGGCTGCAGAAAACTGTTTTYCTTCCAACTTTGCCCTTAATGAAACGCGTCTTCCAATGCGTTTTGGTGGTTCCAACYGATGCATACGTGTAGAAGAAGTGTTCCACTATCAGTTTGAGCACRATTTAGTCAGYCAAAGAAGTTGGAAATGGGTGRTCCACCATCGTTTTAGGACCTAYCTAACCAATTCTGCACAGCTATAAATTCCAGCAGCTTCTTCACCAAATTCATCAAGCCTTGCTTCCTTCTCTTGATCATTTTTAGTGTTTCTTTGTTGCTTTCTAAGTACTTTTGAGTTGCTTTCATTAGTTGCTTTTAGTTTTTAAATCCCGAGCACTTTACATTCCTTTATTGAGCTTTGTTTTGTTTCCGTTTGTACTTAGTTATTTTCTACCTATTCAAATATATAAAAATCCAGCACTTTGCTTATCTTTCCTTTGCCTTTACTTTATTTTTAGTTAAGAGAATTGTGTTTTTGGAGGAAAGAACACGTGACACTCTCCCTTGCTTGAAAGAGAAGAGCGAAGCTCTCAATCCCGA